AATTTCCTTTTTATTTATCGTTATAAAAAATACTTCTCCTTCGGTCACGTGAGCAAGAGGATGGTATTAAGGGTTCTGGATGAAGTCTTATGATACTTTATTTAAAAATTAATAGTTACTTTTTGGATAGTCCAACAGTTTGGAACCCCAGCTGGAACTCCGCTTTATGCCCCCGTCATTTCTAGTTTTAACACGTCTAACCCCAGACGAAAAGCTATAAGGGCATGGGGACGAGGTTTAAACAATGCATGTGTATTGGACCTGTATGGTATATATTTTTCACGCCTTCAATTGTAATAAAACCCATTCAAACTTACATGTGGTCATTTGAGTGGTTTTCATAAACCCGTGAAACAAAGTGTAATAATTAGAGAGTAATAGTTAACAAATAGATCTCATTTTTCCGTGCGTGTGTACTCTAATAGATACACAGATGACGTCAAAATGTAGTGAGAACAAACAAGTACGCACGAGACGCAGTCGAGTGCGTGACTGTTGCTCTCACTACATTTTGGCGTCATCTGTGTATCTATTAGAGTACACACGCACGGAAAAATGAGATCTATCTGTTTTATACAACAAACAATTAGTTTTGACGTAATCCGTGTATCTATACTTTGATAACACACGAAAGCCAACGAATCAAAACGTCTGATTTTACTGAAAAGTTGTATAAATCGTAATAGTCGCATAGAGACAATAAAAAACAAAAGAGCCAAAGTGTAATAGCGATAAATACGCTAAAGTGTGTTTCACGGGTTAATGAAAACCACTCTATTCCGTTATTGTTTGTTTTCAACTTCGTTTTACCCTTTTTTAAACTTTCAAATTTCTGGTTTTTAAGTTTTTACTCAGAATGGTGTGAACGGAAAAACCATGTTGAGCGTGTCAATAATGCTGTGACCTCTTATTGTTGTTATGTAATAATCTTCCGTATCAAGCCCGGGATCGATAATGGGCAACAGGTCGCATCAAAATCATTGCTGCTCTTGATGTCCATCTCCTTTTGCCGCGCACAACTACGACCCCGATGTTCTTCTAGACCTGGTTATTGAGCTCGTTGTTAGAGAGATTGAAAGGCTACTTTATTTTCCCTCTCGTAAAAGGAGCACAGCATCAGGCAAGTTTAGTTTGTAGTATTTATCATTTACGGGAGATTGGGAATTTATCTAGATTTTTTAACAGGGAGTACACTGGTCCCAGATTTTTGATATTTTCTCTCTTCGATATAATGTTTTTGTCGCCGCGTAACTCGATTGCGGCGCTTCGCAGCGACAAAAACATTAGCGAAGAGAGAAAATATCAAACATCTGGGACCAGGGTAAACAGGGAGCGACGAAATTGGAAATTCCTAATGTTTTAACAGTTCAAAAAGTGAGCATCACTGAAATTATTTGGCTCAAGGTCACTCAAGGCCGTACAATGTACGGACCGATCACAGTGAGGTGCTATAAACGGAATGACCTTCATAAGCAATCGCACGGCCCGATCAAACTAAGTCATTAGGCATTTTATCATATGTTCCAATTAAAAAGTCGAAAATCAACAAAAACGGCAAAAAAGTGAACAAATCATTCCAATATTTCAGCTGAAGATTTTTATTTAGTGGAGCACGTGACGGATATGTTTTTTCCGATAAAGACGGGTCCTATGATGTAGATTAGTGATCCAGCAATTTGATTGGCTGATGAAGTGAATGTTATGTCATGATAGACCATCTCGCATACAGTGAAGTGAAAATAGCCAAAACAAATGTCGACATAAAGTTGTTCTTTTTGTCTACTCTTGTCAAATTTTGTCCTTTAATTTGTGAATGCTAAAACAGTTATAGACCACTCAGTCTCGTGGACTTTGAATCGCTCCAATAGACCTTGTGATCAATTATAAAATGACAGCGATATATCTTGTACGCTTACTTTTAGTGCATTTTTCAACCTCCCACATTGGGAAACATAAATAATTCATATTCGATGTTTATAAATCAAAATGCAAATATTATGCAAATATTATGCAACACAAGCCCATYTCTCGTAGTCTCTTGGGCTTCAAAGTGAAATTTCACGTGTCCATTCTAAATCCTCATTGAAAATGACCACGATTCATCATCTTGATRTCTCAAACTAAACCCAAGAGAAAGCTGTGAAAGGTAGGTTAATATGTGGCAAACATTTAGTCATATTTTCGATAAAAGCAAGTACAGTTTTGTTGTGTTAAAATGGCTGACATCAAGCCAAAACTATAGAGATGATTTAGCGTGCTATCTGTTGTTAATCTCGAGAGAATTCCTCTATGAGGCAAAACTGACGGACATCTGGTTAGAGTGTTTCAAGGTTGCAAGTGTTTTTCGCTAAAGATAGGTTTATAATAGTCATCTATAGGTCATGAACCGTACCGGCGACGATGAATGCAAACCAAACATCGCTGGTAAACCATTGAGAAAATACAGCGAAAAGCTATATGTGTTTGGCGAGGAAAATAGCGAAAGAAAAAGAGAAAAAAATCCTACTCTATTTATCGTTTTTAAAAATATCGAATGTGGATTTTATAAGTCAAGAGTGCCAGCATGTTTTAAACCACTGCTTATTATATTATGAGGAATTAGATAAATACAGACAATCAATGACTCAATTATTGTAGTTTTAAAAACCATATCCCTTCAGATTCAACTGTTATTTCAGAATTATAGTTTCTCAGCAAGGGAAGAGTTACTATCAGAAACTCACAAGGAAGAGTCGTGATCAGGTTTCACCATGTGCTTTTTACAAAGACAAAGTTTATTTTCCTTGTCATTTTTATTTGAATTTGAAAGAAGCTTTATTGACACTCTATTATGGTCAAAGTTTTCATTGAAAAAAATGATTTTTTTTAGTATTCGTTACATCGTTTTTACGGACGTACGAGCGGGCTCATCAGCGAATCGATCAATGTCGCTGGACTTGTCGATCGCTTACGAAACCAGTTGCTATAACATGCTATAACCCACGTCACTTGTGTATGTACTCTGGTATACACTAATCTCTATATTTTACGTACAAATCTACATGTAGTATGCACATTATTCGTACGATATTTCTCTCAAACGTAACACTAGTTGTACATTGAATATTCTTTCAAAGAGAGATTTTATCTGTCTTATGCCATAGAAAACAGGCATTAAGGGGCTTCCAAACCTCTTGACATGTGAACGCAGTGAATACAGATTAATCTTACTACCTGTTTACAAAAAGCCGGGTTTTCTAACATTCAATACGGATAAAAATAAGTAGGACAATAGACTTGATTTTATAGTATCTGTAGTATTAGTGCTGTTGATCCGCTTGTATTTTGGTATTGGATCACTAATGGATTGCTTTCTTTGTTCTGGGGTTCTGTTTTGTTGTTGTTGAATGAAGCTGAATAATGACTCAGAAAACGATTTTTTTTACGAGTTGCTGTTCTTCAAATGTTCAATATTCTAGATGCTTACTAGACTTGACGATTTTTCRCGCAAAGCTGCATTCGATATCTTTTAATTGGTTTGAATTGATTGGTTCGACACTCGAACATAATCGAACGAACTGGAATACATCTCTTCGATTAAGTTCGAATATTGAGGTAAATCGATTACCACTTTTATGATCGAATGTTTAAATGATGAATGAGTTTGACTACCGCTGACTTGTTCCATTATCGAATCAGATCGAATTGTAATCGAACGACTGAGTTCGATTGCTTTCGATAGTCCTTGCGGAGGGAAATTTTTGAATTTCAGTTGTTAACCAAATATAATTGTATTCACACGATTGAATATCAATAATCGTAGCTCTGAATATATTGAGTTTCGCTTATCATAAATGACTCAGTGTGGWGCCCTTTATGTTCTTTGCTTTGTAATTTGTACTCAGTACAAATTTAGATAAGCAAATAGTCAAAGCTTTGAAATTTTCACAGCRAGGAAAATCACCGKGAAAGAATCCAACTGCACAACTCAGAAATTAGAAAACCTCTTTTTGACCTTTCGTCATCTACTCTTATCAATTCTGACAAGACTTTGGCTCAAAGAGGAGTCTTTCTTTTCACATCAGTTAAAAGTTATTGAGTTGAATTTCATATCAAGTTTAGTATTAGAAAAAAAAAATACATTTCTTGGAATCTGTTTACAGGTTAGTTGCTTAGTAACAAGGAGTACAATATGGTTCAMAAGTCCTTATGACAGACGCTAAAAKCTGTAGTTACAGATGGCTGAAGACAAGCAAAAGACCGCGAAAGATGCCAGGTAAATGTCGTGATTTCTCTTCTTTTTTATCATCGTATGATAAAYATTAAAGTGCCTTGTATTATAGCTTCGGTTTACTCGTAAAACAAACTGAATTTTTAAAAAGAACAATATCAAAATTGTAAAAAACTAACACTTTCCGCTAATGGCAGCTGTTAAAGATAATCATACAGTTGCAATCAATAGAAAAATATGCTGACTTTTCGGACGTGGTCCTTTTGCTCTGCTTCTGGAAACAACTTGCCAAAACGTTTTCTATGTATCGGTTTATAATAAACTGTGTCATTTGGAATACAGACGTGGATCACATCGACACTAAAATCTGTTTTTTAAAGAAGATACGAGGGAATCGACCAGGAAATGTATTCCTGYATTACTGAGTGGGTGCCTTATCATCCCGGCTTAGTGTTCAATGTASTGTAGGTTGTTTTACAGAAGAAAGTAAATTTACATTATTAAACAATTCAGCTTTTAATCACGACGTATTGGCAGAAGATTATCGAGGACATACTCGAACAGTTCATATTACTGCGTAAGACTGACCTTTTAATTCGTTTKCCACTAGCGTCAAAAGACGTTATAGGCTACATACGTACGTTAAGTCTGGTCGGATTTTCAGTTTTCCGTAAGACTAGAGTGAAACAACGTGTATCATTGAGAATATAAGACAGATGGCGGAGTCTATAATGAAAATATGATAATTTTGGAAAGTAATTGTAAAGAACAGCTGGGGTTGCTCCAATATCAACTGGTAAAATTATCAACRCAATTATAAATACAARCAATTATCAGGGTCATGRCATGGTAGTTGATACTCGTGCGCGCGCTCATTACTGACGCAGTAAATACAAGATAAATTACTAAATTTTTCGCGCAACGTTGCTGTTCAAGTTTAGCGTAAGTATTCCTTGTTTTGAAGGCATTTTGTGTGTGTTTTTCTGTTTCTTTGTTTCTTTGTTGTTTTTATTTTTTTTTTGCACGCGACTAGTTGCTAGTGCTCAAGCAAAGTAAAAAACGAAAAACATCGATGCCAAACTTGAACGGCATCTGTTTATATCTCGTATTTATTAGCTGAGAACGAAAACACTTCCTCTTGTCTGCAACAACGAGGTAAACTAACCTCTCCTTGTTTCTCCTCAGCGGATGTAATATGTGGAAGCACGCTACCCCGCACTCAATGTGGGTTTCATTCAGCACACTATATATCAATTTCATCTCAAAATGTTTCGCTGTTCTTGGTACTGTGATAGCTCGTCGACCATGGGGTACAATTCTTATATGCAGCTCTTTTGTTGGGCTGTGTGCGATTGGTTTTGTGTGGATGACCACTGAAAATAGGTRAGCAATRTGTTGCGTGACTGTCACGTATTCTTGTGTCACAACAYSATCTTCTCCACCATTTATATAATGGTTCTCCACCAGTAAAACTTACAGTTTTTGCTCATGTGTATTGTCTTTGTAGGGCAGAAAAGCTATTTATCCCACAAGATAGTCGCGCTACCAAGGACTTGGACCAAGCAGAGAAACATTTYCCAATGGAGAGTCGTTTGGAACGAGTAATCTTTACACCAAAAACTTCCTACCAAAACACACTTGCAGAAGACTGYCTYAAAGATGTACTAACAGTCCACATCGAAGTCATAAGCACTGGAAAGTATCGAGATCTTTGTTTGTCAAAAAGATCTAAACCRGATTCTCCTCCATTTTGTCTTTTCCTTAATCCATTAGAACTACTGCATTTCAACGGAACGAACTTTGACAACGCTACATCAAAGTTCGAGGAGGCTTTTAGAAATCGAAACATACTCATGCGTAATGGACGACCTCTATGGTATAACATGCGTACAGTATTTGGGGGACTAGAGATCGATGAGACTTCTGGGAAGATTCATAACGTTGAAGCTATCCACGTGSTWTACTTTATGAAAAGCGATGAAGAAGACAAGTCCGTCATCGARTGGGAGAACGATTTCTTGGGCGTGGTACGGGCGTCAAGAAGCAAGCTTTCYTGTATGAATGTCGTGGTAGCTGCTCAACGCAGCCTTGGGGATGCTATTAGCGAAAGCACAGTAGGAGACATTGGTTTTATTTCAGTGACTTTTTCGTTGATGATTTCATTTGCTTGTATAACGYTGGGCAAGTTTAGAAACCCTCTGACGGGACATTCTTTACTCGCAAATATCGGGATCTTTTCGGTRTTTCTTGGGATTCTTGCGGGTTTTGGTTTTGCTATGCTTGTWCAGACACCKTTCATTAGTATGGTAGGAGCAATTCCATTCCTTGTCGTTGGTATAGGCATTGATGATATGTTTATCATCATAGATGAGCTCGATCGTATYGGACCACAGTTCAGTGTTTCGGATACTGTTAAACTTGTYATGGCGAATGCTGGTCCTACCATCACCATGACGACCATGACGGACCTGGTGGCKTTTGCTGTGAGCACYTGGTCTGAGCTACCAGCAATCCAGTACTTCTGCCTCTACTCYGCAATGACAATATTCTTCGCTTATTTAATGATTGTATCMTTYTTTGTKGCAATGATGGCATTCGACGTTCGTCGTGTTAAAGCTGGACGACGCGACTGCTTACCATTCTGCCACGTTCCYCCTCCAAAAGACGGCGCGCCGGCATGGGAAGAGCCTAGCACCCAGGCTTCTGGTAAGATACTTGAGAAGTGGGCTCAAATACTGATGAGGGTTGAAGTCAAGTGCATAGTGGTACTGATATCGTTGGGGCTTCTTGGTGTTGGGATATATGGGGCCTTGAACATAAGTGAACATTTTGACCCTAARYTACTGGCAAAGGATGACTCGCCGTTCTTAAGATTCTCCGAGGCCCAAGACAAGTATTTTCCAATGAAAGTCGAAATAAGTGTAATCCTTGAYCAACCAGTGAACTATRCAAGTCTGAAAACACAGCAACAAATCCTAGATTTATCGAAAATTGCTTCTCAAAACTCATTCTATGACAACACGACGTTGTCTTGGATGGAGTCGCTTCACRAATTCGCCAAGAAAATGCACKTAAGCACAGAAGGGGAACATTTCATGCCAACAYTSATCCACTTTCTGCAAACGCCTGTCTTTACTCATTTTATGCAGGATTTRAGGTTTTCAGAAGACAAGAAGAACCTGGAAGCGTCTCGTATCCTYTGTTACATGAAATCGTCCTTGAACTCAATAGGTCAACGTGATGGAATGGTSACTCTTCGTGAAGACATCGACAATTCCCCACTACCAGCGTACCCTATAGCTAAACCTTTYATGTATTTTGAACAATACGCGATYATTTTCAAAGCAACTGTYAGGAATCTTATCATAGCTTCTTGTGCYATATTAGTTATTACAAGTCCTTTCCTGGTGAACGTTAGTGTYACACTAATGGTKTTCTTTGGCTTTGTGGCGTTGATATTTGAGATGTTCGGTGTTATGTACTTCTGGGGCGTCTCTCTTCACGGTATTTCGATGATCAACCTTGTCATGGCTATCGGGTTTGCTGTTGATTACAGTGCCCATGTTGCGCATGCGTACGTGATGTCTTCCAAGGAAACCGCTGAAGAAAGAGTTATWGAGGCGCTAAGGACTCTGGGAGCGAGTGTTCTCATGGGAGGTAAGAGTCTTGCGAAGTTTCTTGAATTGAAGAACACAAAAACGTTCATTTTAGTGGACATAATATAGGGCGAGGACTGCATTTCACATCAGCATTTTGAAGTGATTTTTAGTACTTTTAATCATAATTTTTACTGTTTTATCTTTTAGGTGCTAGTACGTTTATTGGCATGGTTATGCTTGCGTTTGCTTCCTCTGAAATCTTCAGAATATTCTTCAAAATGTTCTTTGGCATAGTGTTCCTTGGTCTTCTMCATGGTCTCTGCTTTTTACCTGTTTATCTCTCAATCTTCTGTCGCAAAAGCGCGATTAATGGTAATAATACTACTAACCATGTAGAAAACACTGACAGCCATGATGGTCCTACAAAGCCTTCTTTACKGAGAGATGGGAACATAGTTATGAAAAACGATCTAGTGAATGATGAATGTAATGGTGCAACTCCTCTGATCTGCACTGAAACAGTTAATCCAGACCAGGATAGGGAGACGCCTTGTTAGTTAATACAGCGAACAGTCTATGTTAATCTCAGACGTGTTTCATTGCTATTGCACCAGAGTTAACCATAGCTTCTTGTTCTAACATCGTTTTTAAAGTGTTTTAATTTTTATTCTGGTTGACTTAGTGAATTTTTTATACGCGTAATGCCATAACAGTCAGCAATTAGAAAAAATATGGTTTTGTAAATGAATTATTAATTTTTAACTTGAAGGGCCAAACTAGACATGTTGCAAGTSCAAATAGTTGGACAACCAATCGTCTTGCGTCAATTTTTCAGAGAGCTCGACCCTGTTTACATGTAACAKTGGGGGCCCTGGGTACTAGAGCCAAACTAGGAGGCAGCTGTACTTTCAGCTGTGTTTTCCCACCAAAGAATATAATTTTATGTTTTAACCAACAGTTTGATTTCTATAAATGCWGAAAAATAACTTATTTAATTATTTATTGTTTTTAATATTAACAAAATTTAAAAGCCAAAAATTATAAGATGAGTTGAGTCAAATATCAGAGTTAATGTATATGTATCATTAAAAAGTATACGACAATCAATACATGGGTGTAATGGGTTGTTTTTCATGCCCATACCATTGCGACAGCTGTTAAGGGATTGATCAAGGGGGCACTCAGGTGTTGCATGGAGTGGGGAGGGGGGTTTCATACTATCTACTCAGCCGATGGTTTAAAAACTGTGAATACAATGGACTGCAACACTATATTCTTATGCATTCACAGTCAACAAGCAACCTCTCAATCTAAAAAAAAATTAATTTTAAAAACTTTAAAAACAAAACAATGTTTCCCCTACTTGTTTTTGTAGTCATGTCCTTAGTAATTCTTACTATAAAATTTAATTTGACAAGTTAACTCAATGCTGCTGTGCCATCAGGCACCATTTTCAAGAGTAACTTATCGTTTTGTCAACAAAAACCCCAATGTTTGCCTTGAACCCATGGAAATCTCCCTAGCGTATCCTTACTGGTTTCTGGATGGGATACTGTCGTGAGATACTGGGTGAAGGGAGCTGTGATGCAAAGACATATCAAAATAAGAGTACAAGGCTTCCACTAGTACATTTATATCAAGCCATTTATTGCTTCAAGCTGTTGTGGTTCCTTAAAAAAGATTAAAAATAGACATGCACATTTTGAAGGACTTATCATCACTTGCAATGCCTGTCTACAAGGAATAAAGAGCTGTCTAAACAAAGTTACAAACAAATAACATTATATAAGTACAGTCTGTTGTGAAAAATACAACATTATTACATGCATACTTTTGAGAAAACAAAAATTCCAATGGACTTCTACAGGAAATGAATAATGTTTATATTGGATAATATTCAAAGACTATTATAACTTACTAATGACTATAAAAAAAACTACATATTAGTTACATAAATACAATCATACAATATCTAATCATACTATTTCTACATAGATTTCTAAGTTTTCTAGTTGATTTGATAATGGGTTACTGAACTGTTGAGGTAGTAACATTGACAAAATTAATATTCCATAAGTATTTCATTACAAGAATTGTGAAATCATGTCCACAGTATTAATTGAATAGTGTTTTACAGTATAAGTATAATGAATTGAAAACGCAGTAACATGATTAAATTAAAAAAGTTAACAATTACATGTACAAAATCACTGACTTCAAACATTAACAGATACATTACTGCAATAGTGAGCAAAAACCCCACATTACAAGACAAGATATTTACATGAATGTGACATGCATGTTGCAAACACGAATAAAACAATCAGTGTAATTGAACTAAGCATCATCACCATCATCATCGGCATCAATGTCCTTCTTATCAGCATCATCATCGTCAGCATTTTCCTGCTCTTCTCCATTTTCGTCATCGCCATTCTCTTGCACAGGGTCAGCCTGTTCTTCTTGTTCATCATCAACTTCGTCAACATCTTTCATATCATCATCGCCATTTTCTTGATCTTTCTTTGGAGACCCAGATCTAGATCTTTCATCAGGTGACTTGGAGCGTGATTTGGAAGTGGCTTTTTTGTCTTTTGATGGAGATTTGGATGTTGAACGTGATCTGGAGTGTTTTGATCTGCGATGGGGTGATGATGAACGGCGGCGGCGTTTGGGAGATCTTGAGCGGGATCGAGAACGGCTAGAAGTAAGAAATAACATTCAGTAACCAAATGAATTTAGCATGAACTATTAGCTATGTAAGACACACATTAGAAAAGAGCTCAAAGTTTAGCCATCAACATGACAAAATGATACATTACAATTAGGATACTTACAAAAGCTTAACATTTACTAAAGCACAAAATAATAACAAACAGTACCTCTTGCGACGAGATCTTGGACTCCTACTTCTACTYCTGCTTCTGCTAGTTGATCGTCTAGTCTTAACTTTTTCCTGAAGCGATTAAGGTGATATTAAAGCAAACCTAGAAGTCAATAAATTTGGGCATCAACACTTACTATTTTAAGTTTAATGTGTCTTCCAAAGAACTCGGTGTCATCTAGTTTTTTCATGGCAGTTTTCATGTCATCTTTAGATGAGAACTCTACAACCCTGGAAACAAAAACACAGCAAACATATCAAATACAAAGTACCAAGTCTGTGAATATGGCAATTACAGTAGGAAAATACGAAGGCATAATGCTCACTCAAGCTTAATAATATACAGTTAACTCTCGCCTTATGGACACCACGCTATTACCGACACTACGCTATTACGGACACCACGCTATTACAGACACCACGCTATTACAGACACCACGCTATTACAGACACTAAGTGAAGTTCCCTCAAGTGTCTGTAATACCGAGAGTTCACTGTATGCTGCTAATACATTTAAAAAATTTAAGATTGCTTATTACAAAGATATGAGACTGAAAATAACTCCAGCTATGAYGAACTSTGWCTATWACAGACACTAAATTAKGGTCCCTGGGGTGTTTGTAATACMGAGAGTTCACTGTATGATGCTACTACATTTAAGAAATTAAGATAGCTTTTCTTAAGAAGGGCTAGAGAGTAATGGAGACAATAAGCATGTCATCACCCACAAAAGACAACAGGCTTATACAGTAACTCCTCAGTTAAACTGCTCTCTCTCCCCTGTGTGAATTGAAATGCTACACCAACTTACCCCTCTCCTTGTCTTCTCTTGTGGGCATCAGCAAATGTGACCTCCCCAGCTTTACTCATGTACTCTTTTAAATCCTGTAAAAGCATTATAACTTAGAAAAACAAGTATAATTATAACATAGTATCAATATAAAGAATAATGTTTAGAGCAGACAAGAAACTACAAAGTTGAAAGAGGGTATCCCAAGATGGCAGTGCAGTACAAACGTTTAAATAACACAAACTAAAATAACATACATTTTAATCATTCAAATAAAAAACATATTTTTAGAATCTCATTAACTAAAAACTTTAAAATTTTAATCTTTAGGAATTATTGTCCGGAGTTGACAGCTGCAGTCTTTACTTAGTTATGTAGCCAATTGGCTTTTTAAAAAACCGTTTATAACAACTGGGGGCTTCATCATCACTCACTCGCTCACTCACTCTTCTGTAATCAGGTCCTCTCAAATGCCCCTACTTACCTGTTGCTATGATTACAAAAACATATAAAGCAAAAGAATGTAAATAGAACTACATGTAGCTACAACAACCCAGTTAATTTGGGGAACCAAAGGCCAGGCTTTTATTGGTACCATGGGGGCTGGTTTGGTCAGCCGTGGATTCAGTATTGGTTTTTTGTTAGGCACAAATTTGGTTTTGGTTTGGAATCTAAGTACTACTGTTTGGAAAGGAAAGTAACTACTTCCAGCCATTGGCGTCACAGTATCTCATGTTTGGTTGGTTGGAACAGAATCTGTTTATCGGAAATGGACAGGCAGATAGCTCTAGGAATGGCCTGAGGTTAGAGACTGACAGACTGGCTAGGCCATGGGTGGTTTTCAAAGTGCTTACAGTGCTTTGGTGATCTAGAGATCAAGAGGTTGACAAGCTAAGTTACAGTGTAGTAACTGATGAAAACTTTTAGCAGCTATCTTTGTATCATACATCATGATCAAAGTTCAAATTCTCAATCAGATTTTAATAGTTCTGGAGGAGAATTCACATTTTGATCATGATTCAAGTGAATTGAAAATGAAAATGCACTGCAAACCTTGTTTCCCAATACAAACTAAACTCAGCCTCTGTGAAGAACATAAACGGACAAAAAAAACACCAAAACAGAACTGAATAAATACTGTATAAGCCAATTTTATCTTTTAAAGAATCGATGCATTGTAACACATAGTGAATGGCGTTCAAAAATTGTAAATTGGCTTATACTAAAGGGCCTGATTAATCAGCAAATGGTGTACTATTTTCTAACATTAACAAAGCAGCCAAAGTCAGATGCCAATAATTATAGAGGCAACTTTTATGAAGTTAATGTCAGAAGTAATGCACATTATTGATCTTTTGAGCACCCTTACCCTGCATTTGAGCTGGAATACAAAGACGTATTACAACAAAAATTTCCATAGTTTCAATAAACAATTTTTAGAACTAGGAAGACTTAAATCAAATAACAAATTGATCAAAAAATGGCAACAAAATTAAGGTGATGATTTAGGTAAAGAAGCGTCAGTTTACCTGCCAATTGCAGCGTGAAGAGAGATTAGTAACAGCTAATCTATGCTCTGTTCTGACTGGTGGGGTTCTTCCTCTTCTTGGAGGATCCCTTCTGCTTGACCTGCTGCTACTACAAAGATAAAAAAAGTTATGTTATTATGTTTAAATGGAGGTAAGTAATCCTCAAAACAATAAAACGAATCTTGTTATTGCTTGTGAAAACAATGGACAAACAATAGATGCTCTTCCAAACAATGCAAACCTAGCCTRACAATAGATGKTCARTACTGAGGAAGAAATCTTAAAGAAGCTTGGAAGGGCCATGGATTACGAGGAAGGAGTCTCGCAAGCAAATCAGTGTAGCTTGGAGTTTTGAYTGACAGGAATAATTACAYATACRAGTAAATAYAAAAACATACCTGTATCCTGAGCTATCACGGCTGCGATATCCATAATCTACACTGCGAACAGGATTCCTAGCATGCTCCACTACAATTCTAAAACATCAAAAGTCATATTCAATGGGTGGCAAAGGAATATTGCGCAATAAAATGAAAAAAGACATAATCATGAATAATTGATGTGTAAAATACTATATTTAATAAACTTCGTTATTTGCTTGTAAGTATAAATGTTTCTATGCATAATAAAGTTTATTTGGACGAAAAGAATAATAATCATGAAGACCTAAAGAAGAGTGCCTAAATCCACTTTCAATTTCGACAAGGAAACGGAAAGGCAACACAATAGAATACARCTTTTGTTATACGGCACCTTTCTCCTAAAAGTTCTTTGCCATTTAAATCGTACACACAATCGTCTGCGTCTTTTGAATCTTCAAATTCCTAAAGAAWAGGGAAAAGGCTTTCAATGTCGACAAACGTGTAGTCGTTGCTTCGTTCGAGGATCAACTTACCACGAAGCCGTAGCCAAGTTTTATACTAATTTCACGATAATGGCCATATCCACGAATGAATTTCTCTAAATCTCTTTCTCTACAATCTCTTGGAAGTCTTCCAAAGTACACCCTAGTTCCACCACGCGACATTTTCAACTAAAAGAGTCAAGAAYGCTGAGCTYCCTCGATCTCCTTTGACAAAATGGCGTCGTTTAGAAATCAAAGTCCCGGATGAGCACGAGTTGGGCGCATAATCTTTGACGACAGCTATGGACCTACATATTTTGGACCATAACTCTAAAATTACAGCATAACTGCTTTCAAATCTTATAAAAGATTATCGATATCAGAACAAATCAGTGAAAAAATGTAAGACATAACGTATGCTATCGTCTTTGTGCTGAAAATACATGTAATATGGAAAAATATGAGTTCATTTTATGAAAATGCCGCGCCGCACCTTYGCAATATAGTGCCTATGTATTCGACGATTTTGTCAGTTTATGTCGCGTTGGAAAAACTAAAAAAACAAATTATTGTTGTCATTGAATCGCACAATTAATTATTTTGAGAAAAACAAATAAATTTGATGATAAAAGTACCCTTAGGAATCTTTCATGTTAATGTGTCACGCTTCAACCTCTTACTGGTGTTACCCTGGACCGTGACGAACGCCTGTCAAAATTTTACACTGCGCTCACAAGCACTATCAAAACTTGAACTTTCTGCTTGACTTAACGACCAAAAATGTCTCCAAGTAGAGTTTTGAACTGTACCGATCTCTCATGGTAAGGGATTTGATGCCGATGCCATTGATCGAGCGATGAAAAGGAGACGAAATGATCTCTATCTTGATGACTTGGGTTACCCATCGTCTCTATCAATCTGTCCCGTTTGCGGTGCTTCAGTGTCGAAAGAAAACATAGACCTACACGTACAGCAGCACTTTAGCCATCCTCAGCCTTCAACGTCTACAGCAACCAGTCATTGTGATTTAGAGGGTAAGCTTTCTTGTTATAAACACTATGATTACTTCTGGCAACCTCAAATAACATCAAACGTCAAATTTCAAAAATGACATTTTTTCATGTTTTTAAAACGAACTGGTGGCAATTTATTATTATCTTATTCCTATCCTCTTGTTCGTATTTCTAGTTCCTGGATTTTCTGATGCTGGAGACTTCAAGATCTGTACTTTTGGTCACTGTCAGCAGATCGGTAAAAGATCATTTAATTTGCTTTTACAGTCAAATGTAAATTATCAGTAAGAGTAGCTTCTTCTAAGTTTTTTTTCCTTGATCATTAATACATTTATTGGGCAAACTCTTCATTATGTATTCTGTGTGCTGGTAGAACATAGAATGTCTCTGTTTTTTTCCAAATTATTCAAACTGTATATACTGAGATTACTGTCATTCATAGATTTTGATCAGTCCAGTTGCTCTCATTGGCAATGATATTTCATATTTAAATTCTTGAAAGAACTGGACTCATTTTCCATTTGAGTTGAAAGCTGTTTTACTTTCAAAACGATCATGTCTATTAACCAAACTTTTCTTAATACTCTCCAATAAAAGTACTTGCAAATGAATTCATAGTAAAATGCATTATGGCAAAACTTTTATGTTACCAGTTTTCTCAGCTGCACATTGCTGCTCACACCTGTTGCTTACCAGAAAACTGGTCAAATTTCAATGTTAACCTAACTGTTTTGACTTCTGAATTTAAAGAAATAAAAAAAATTGTTCACAAGTGTTCACAAGTATCTCAGTACAAAAATAGGAGAGAATTAAAGTCAGTAACTTTGATTACAGAGTTGAGTAGAGAGATTCCAATGCTATATTAGAACTACATCTTGCATTATTGTCAAATGGGGTCTACCATACAATTAACAAGAAACAAGCATATTCAATTCAGAAGCATATATTAAATAATAAAATGCAGTTATACTTCTGTTATATAGTCTCAAGCACAGAGTGGGATGATCACCTCTTTGCACACAGCCTTGAGGAACAAGCTAACATTTTAAACACAACAGCAACAGTGACCTCTACAACAACACACCTTGACGACAGCCTATTGTCCCAGTTAGATCACAGTCTACATGGAATCCATAGCAACAGTCTCCATAGTGATGTATCAACACATACATCACTATTGACGTCAACAGATCAGGGACTTTCACAAGAGCTAGAGCAACAAGAGATGGAGCGGCTTGAAAATCAGCCATCACAGTGGAATGATCACTTGCTTGCGCAAGCACTGGAGAGTGAAGATAGAAAAGAACTAGAGGAACAAAGGGTCAAAGAAGAAGAAGAATTTAAGAAGCTGCAGGTAATATGTGAATTGATTGCAATGATGATGATGATGATTGTGATAGTGATGACAATGATAGTGATGATAATGATAGTGATGATAATGATAGTGATGATAATGGGGATAGTTAAGATGATAATGATGATATTGATGATGATGATGATAGAGATAATGGTGATAGTGATAGTAATGATGATAATGATGACAGTGATGAAGATGATGATGATATTGATGACCTTGAACCTCACAACCAAGTATTATCTGGTTTTAAATACCACAGGCTATGTATGGGATGAATTCAGTAGGTGGGTATGTCAGTCAATACAGTCGAAACTTAGAAAGAGATGTGAACAGAGGCAAGACTTCTGTAGGTGACTACTACGCCAGAAAAGCTGAGATGCTAAAAATACTGATGACTGACACAGACAGTGGAGAGTCCTGCACCAAAGGTAAGGTTTAGAAGTGAGTCGTTTAAGAAACTCCAGTCTTATACTTGAGGTACATAACATAGTAGTAACTGACACTAATGATTTTAAAGGGAAAATGCAGTGAGTGTTAATTGTCATCTTTCCTCAGGAATCATTCCTCAGCTTCACCATCGTTACAAGGCAGGTGTAAGTGGGACAAAGCAGGCGTGGTCATCATGTGACACTGATCACTATGCTAGTACCGTTGGCGATGCAGGATGGGGGTGTGGCTATAGAAACCTTCAGATGTTGATCTCCTCTCTCCTTAGAATTGACATCTACAGGCCTATGTTGTTCACTAGTAAGTCAAAATAGGAACAAGCTCTTTGGTATACTAGCTGCCTTTTAGAATTGACATCTACAGGCCTATGTTGTACACTAGTAAGTCAAAATAGGAACAAGCTCTTTGGTATACTAGCTGCCTTTTAGAATTGACATCTACAGGCCTATGTTGTACACTAGTAAGTCAAAATAGGAACAAGCTCTTTGGTATACTAGCTGCCTTTTAGAATTGACATCTATAGGCCTATGTTGTACACTAGTAAGTTAAAATGAGAACAAGCTCTTTGGTATACTAGCTGCCTTTTAGAATTGACATCTACAGGCCTATGTTGTACACTAGTAAGTCAAAAT